TCTCTCGCCTCTTCTACACACTTCTTCAGAAATCGGTTTCGGTTGTTACTATTATATTTGTTTATCTTTAATTGTAAAAATTCCGATTTTGTTTTACTTTGTTTTTGGTTCCTAAATAACAGAATTATTTATGTATGTAATATTGTAATACAATTGTTTCTGCAGTGAAAATCCACAGTAAACGAAACCGGCAACCGGTAAATCCAAAACGCCTTGGCAACCGCGAATTAGTTGATACAACAAAACTAACTCACACGACTGTATGTGTAACGTTTTAAAAATGTCGCCCGTCTAAGCGACTCGATCGTGATAAGAATTATTATAGTACGTATTCACATAATGTTACTAGAAATCGTCAGATTCAGGGGGTGGAAACTTAGAAGAAGGACGGTTTGTATGGAAAGTGGCGCCACCTTTTATATAATCGTAAACATCATTTCATCTCATGGCTGAGAAGAAGCATCATTTCTGTCATTGAGACATTCATGTGTCATCAAACCGCTACGTTTTTTCGTATTTCTATTTCTGTTCTTGTATTCTTAGTTAAATGTTGTTTCATTCATTTTGTTTTTAATTAAAATGTGTTTTCGTGAAAAACGACGCTGTATGCAACTGTGTTTTAGATGGACTGATTATGGTAAGTTACAATTCAATAAAAATTTTCATGTTATTCCCATACGTCAGACTCATTTAAACATTTAAATATTTTCGTATTTTGGTGTAGTTTTTAGCACCACAGTGATTTATACTTTCCGGTTATCATATTGAATGGTGCCCTACTTCTAATACATTTTACATATCAGTTCCTATACTTGACAGGAAATCACATTCTGTTTGTTTGTTGTAGGTGCACATATACACGGTTTCCCCCTTCCTGAGAGAAGGTCAGTGAAGTTCAGAAAATGTGTGCCAATCACTGGAATTATAGAGCCATAAACTGATGTGTCTGAAATTAGTAGGTGGGTCCATGTGTGTATATGTAAAAAATATATTTTTTTATTTGTAATTTTTTATTGTAAAGAAAAATCTGCTTGCCTATGTTGTAAGAGAATATGTTCAGAGTGTTTAAACTCGCAAATAACTACAAATTGCCAGTTGCCAGCTTGCATGTGACTGAAAATATTTTGGGGGTTGGTTTTAATTACAGGGTATGCATTTTTTTGTGACCGCGCTATACTATTTATTACCGTAAATGTAATTTTCAAATATATATATATATTAAATATTAAAATTTTGAGCTGATATCTTGAAAGTCATTGATGTATATGTACTTGCATAGATTTAAAATTAAGTTATGTAGAAATATAATAAATAATGTACAAAAATATAAAAATATTTTGTTTTTATTTCCCCAATAATAATAGGATCATTTTAATAGAGGTATTTCATAGAAGGCTACTTGATATCGGCTCACTATAATAATAACTGATAAGTGGGTGTATTATTTTTGAACATTGATTTAATGTCAATTTTAATTTCATAAATTAGATTCCCACTTATCAGTTATTATTATAGTGAGCTAAATAAGCGTGCCTACGTATATAGATACCAAAAAAAAAAAAATTAGTTCAGCGATTATACGCATGGAGCGCCACAATCGCCGTGGATCCACGACTTCGTGCGAGTTGCCCCTCTTTCTATAGTATACTTATTATACTCTTTGGTCAGATTGAATAATGACGTTTGTCCGTCAATAAATCCGCATAAAGAGGCGAGTTATTAATCATAAAAATTACTCTATGGTTTTACAATTGACGAGAATTATTGTCTATGTAAGTCGTTTTTAAGACATCTAATAAAATATGTTCAAATTAACTTTAAATCTTATATCTCATATCAATTCGTTAAAAAACGTTAGTATTTTATCATGTAATTGTGTTTCTTCTTGTTAATTTTTAATTAACGTTAATTATTAGCAATTAAATAAACTGGTTAAATATAGTTTCGTCTGCTATTAATAATGGGATACGGTTCGTGTCACTTTCCGTAACGAAATCACTTGTGTGCGTGAAACCAAAGAGGTGTGTTCAGATATGTAAAAAAGTTAGGTTAGTTTTATATTTCGTGTAATGTTTAGAGCATATTTTAGCAAAGCGCGCGCAATTTTCTCGTACACTTTATTAAGAAGCTATAACTCTTTTAGATTTTGACGTCGGCATTTCACTTTATTTTTAAAATCTATTTAATACGATTAAAAATTAAAAAAACAAATTGGTAAAATTTTATAGTACACCTAACGCCATCTGTTACACAATAATAAAACCAATAATATATTAATAATAATTTAAACATTAATTAAAATGTATATGTTTTTTGATATATAAACACGGCTAAACACTCACGTATATTCATATACGTATAAGTAGAATATACGTGAGTGTTTAGCCGTGTTTATATATCAGTTTAGTATAATGTCTCACGAAAGTTTGAATAATTTATATGTTTTTTAATCATATTTTACAAATTATGACCGTGAGTCGGTCTAAAGTTCCGCTTTTTGCTAGTATACAAAAATGTAAAGCAAATGTGATGTATTCCTCTACTTCCAATTGTCTATTTATCTGGATTCCGATCAAGCCGGCTGCCTGCAATATATCCGCTGTGAGTAATAAGTACAAGAGCGTACAGCTTTATACCTGACTTTTAATCGCGCCGGTCAGAAAATAGCCCCCACTGCTACCATCGAGCAATTTCGCAACGACATGTATGCACGCCGGCGACGCCGTGCGCCGGTCCTTACATCGCTACATCCCTTTCTATCTGCAGAACACGGAAGATCGCATCACACTATGTAACACAATGCCTTAGTGAGTTATTAAAACTGCCGACACTGTGTCGTCTTGCTGGAAACGCTACACTCTAGCTTCGAGGTCGTTGCCCCCTTGAATGGACCGTCCAGTTTTATTGACCTCCTTCGTTTCCCGCAGCAGTGCATAAATCGGATAAGAAAGGTGAGGCGCTCTTAGTGTTAGGAGGTCGTGTAATATTGGTGCATGCTATGTTACAATCGACGAAAAGCAGTTGACAGGTATACGAATGTATTGCAAAAAAATTGACAAGTAATGGTATAAATTGTTTAATTTAAATCTCACGGTGTGGCGCTGCGATCGCTTGATATCTGGCATTAGGAGATAAAACATTTTATTGACTTATTATTGCTTTAAAAGTTACGGTTATATAAAATCATTTTATCAATTTAATGGAAGATACCGCTAAGTGGGTATACGGCAACGATTCCTATCACTAAGTTATAGTAAACTCTATTTTATTTTTAACACAATCATGAATTGTTCTTGCATTCACAGGTTTATTCTAATACGTCTCGTAATAAAAACATGCTTGCATTGGCAAAAACGAACACGTGTTTCGGCAGTGGAAACACACGGTAAAACATTTTGTTGAATTACGTCTCGCTACTTTTATTATTTATTCAAATATGGGTAACCGTTAATGTTTCCATAACGATTATACATCGCGATAACACGCAACTGTGTGTTTTATTCATTTATACTTTGTACTTACAAGTAAACTTTCAAAGAATGTATTTTTTTAATTAAGCACGGATCTAGACGATACAGGTTTATTTTATAATAGAAGGGGCAAACGAGCGGTGGGAACACCGAGGTGATCAACGACACCAATGGACATCTGCAACACCAGAGGAACTGCAGATGCGTTGCCTTTAAGGAAATGGTATGCTCGCTTCTTGAAGGTCCCTAAGTCGTATTGGTTTGGAAATACCGCCGATAGGTTCAGATTCTAAGTAAAAAAAATGCTATAATACCTTAAAATATGGAGGATTAATTTTATAGATTTATCAATCTCCTTCGTCATTATATTTTTGTGCCCTAATTCTTAACCTAATCACAATTTTAGGTTAAATTTAAGTGGAATAATCATAAAATGTCAGAGAAGGTTAACCTTGGGCACAAAGTACTAAAACACTAAATAATAAATTAAATTTGTTTATAATGTTTAATAAAACTTGTTGCCCTATAACAGTTTTCATTGTTTTGATTAATTACCGTTGGTTTCTGAGACCGTCATATCGGTATAATATGTCATCCCTGTCTTTATCTTTAACAAATCAGAAATAACTATATGTTTTAACGGACATTTTGGTCTTAAAAACCCATGGTTATACATTAAAACCGTTCGTATATTTGGAGTTCAGCTAGTAAGTTAGTAATCCACTTCAAACATGAAGCACAAATCACTGCAGCGTTCTTACGACGATATTGCGAGAACGGGGAGCGGAAAGGAGTGCGGAAGGGGGGCGTAATTCAATAAAATAATAAAGAAGAATGAGTTTTTATACGCAGCGTCGTTTATAGCGGATGTTTATCGTTGGTTTCCGAGACTAAAATCTCTGTATAAAACATATCGTCCATCTCATTATCTGATTATTTTACTAATATTATAAATATGAAATTTTGCATGGATGCATGTTTGTTTGAAGGTATCTCCAGAAAAGCTGAATGGATCTCGCTGAAATTTGGCGTAGATGTAGAACATAGTCTGGAAGAACATATAGGCTACTAAGTTTTTTTTTCATTCCGCACGGACGAAGTTGCAAGCGACAGCTATTTGATAAATTATAGATAACAATATGATTTATTGGATTTTATATTTTGGTCTCAGAAACCAACGCTTATTATTTTATCGCGCAGAGTATGAGTCAGCAATAGGTTAACGTATTACAATTGCGTGAAGTGACTGACCGCTTTTACAATGCTTTTACTTTGTGCAATTTGAAAGTGTGGCGTTAAATTAATTTTGCGAATATTTTTTATGCTATACAGGTTACACTGTTTGTTAATCTGTTAATTTCTGTTTAGATAAAACCTTTTCTAATTGTAAACATTACTGGTTGATCATAAAAATTATAATTAGAAAAAAAAACTCCAAAATAGGTAAATTCAATTAGGCCCTTCCTCATTGGATAACTAGAACGTCATTTCAATTTTATCATGACATTTTAATGTACTTTTATTTTTAACAATTTATTGACTATAATATGATGATTGTAAACAATAAAAATAATGCCTAAATTCAAACAAAGACGCACTTGCACGAAACAGGTACTAACTACATCGACCTCGACCTAAATAATTCAAATGAAACTTGAAATCAATCATTTGTTATTTAAATTTTAAACAGACATTAAATATTATTGTAATAAAATACTTAAAATACGTAATTACTTGGTTTTTTAGCTAATTATGTCTTTAAGTTATATAATCTGTGGATTCTGGCTACGGAAATTAATAAATTAGGTGCACAGGTAATTGCTATAAGGCGTTTTTTGACGTGTCTTCTTATTACGAACAATTAGTATTCGTTGCAATATAATTATTGCTCTTCAACTTTTACAGGACAAATCAATTATCAACTAATTGTAATTCGGTGTAACTCGCTGTTGGGCAACAGTTCAAGCGCATGTTTAATATTTCTTTCAATAGATGGCGCTAGTTGTTAGTATCACTACAGCTAAGGAACATTTTATTGGTTTATGATTTTTATATTATTAATTGTATGTTACATGGAAATTTTTTTCAATATACGTACTTTTAAATGAAAATGGATTTTGTAAATACCCTAAACACGCACGTCAAATATTTCAATCAATGGCAGTTTTAATTGAAAATGTAAGATTTTTATTGATAATTTTAACTATTATTGTAAAGTCGTTGACAGTTTTAATACTGGCCACTAAATTTTTTTTCATCTCAACATAGTATTATTAGGTGTAAAAATAGAAACGAGTATTTTATCAAAATTAAAACATCGATGTGACATTATTTCGTTTCGTTTTTATTATTTTTTGTCAGAATAATACTCATGGTATCCTTACATCCTTACGTTTATACAAAAAAAAAATAGTTTCGTGATAATGTAAAGATAATTACCGCGATATTGTATTGTAAGCTTTATTAGTTACCTATAAGGTCGTAAATACAATGCAGTTCTATACTGTTTATTATTAATTCAAGAAACCTTAAAGAAACTCCGTTATTATATAACTAAATCAATTAAACGAATTGAATGTACAGTTAAATCATGTTGATATTTGTTAGTGATAAAAAACATTATCTTTTAATCAAAGAATATTGTACGAAATATGTAATGACCACTAGAAGATTGAAATCGGCGAAACATTATAATGTTAGTGTTATTCGCCGCAGTTGGGATGATTCGCCGTCGCCGTGCACAAATCCCTCTCAACTAGCTAGGTAGCTGTATTATTGCCGCTTATGTCGTATGCGGCAGGTAGAGAGGACTCCGGAATAACGAAAGAGACAAAACCATCGCAACGGCCGTAACCCGGCTACATTTTAACGCGGCCATTTAGACCGGCTATGGACTTTCTTTCAACCCCGCACCGAGGGGCCGTTGTACATTCAATCAATACAATAACCGGATCTCGATGTTCTCGCTTATATCTAAACTGACAGCGTCGGCCATTTTATACAATGCTTACGCGAAAACGGATCGCGTTATGCGAAATCTAACGTCACCGTTGTGTCGGACGGGAAAAAATAGCCTAAATACGTGTGCGATACGTTTACAAAGCGAACGATAACGGCAGGACGCCGCATCGTTTAGGCTTTGAACAATCGGTCGAGGGACGCGACGAATGTAATCTGCGATCAAAATGGAAGCGGGCGGCCATCTTAGGTCTGCCGCGAGCGAGAGAGCGCGCGGTCCGCTTCGGGAATTTGGGAAATTGGTGTTTTTTTTGTTGTAAAGAGAGCAGTATATAAGAGGTCGGTAGGCAGAGGACAGGACGGGAGCGGGGCGCGGGGCGATCTCCGCACGGCAAAGCGGTGTGAAGGGAAAGAACTGCGGTACAACTGCACAAGATCTTATATCTCGAGATTGATTGCCGAACATCATACAAATAGACCCAAATTACCAAACCAAACATGAAATTATGCAATTAAATATTTTACGCGATAACATTAAAAAATTAGAAATATTATAATTAATATATTTTTTTAATAGTTTTGTTCACTAAAGATAACTTTAATTGTTTCCTTTTGTTAGTACTAATACAAATTATTTTTATTTTTACAAAATAGTGATAATTGATTTTATAATATTTTACTCTTTGAAATTATATTTTTTAACAAAATTTTTGATTTTAACTGCTGTTTAATACCATAAAAGTACAAATCTGACAAGTATAAATGAAAAATCAGATTTAAAATATTTAACAAATCGAAACAATAATTTATCCCCGGACTAGTCGTCGTTCTCCGTTTGCCTTGTGTAGCGGCCACCTATCTTTCATTGCACGTACGCGCGGCGCGCGGGGGGCGGTCGCCGCGCGGCATACGCGGAGCCATCTTGCTAGCGGTCGTCGAATTGCTCGCGTCTCCGCGACATAAATCGCTTTTAATTCGCACTAATTAACCGTTTAACACAATAAAAACATAATAAATAAGTGCCAAAGTACATCGGAATAGTGCCTGAACGTTGTGATCTGAAACATTGTTGACATAAATTGTGTGTGTTGTTGTTTTAGGTGTGTGCATTCCGTCTGTCTAGGTGAGTAGTCACCAGTCTTTGTGCGCGACAATTATCATTCTGATCGATTCGGCCCGCGCGGGGGTGTGCAGCCGGCCCGTTTTATATCTTTTGTTGTTTTGTAACGCTGCTAAATCAATAATTTTAGTGGCGGCTAGCTGCGGGCATCGCGTTCTTATTTCAAATCCTTTGACGTTCCGAATGCTGTCGGTGTTTTAACGGTGAGAGATTGTAACTGTTACTTCGCGAGTACATTACACGTTGTCTTTGTAATGCGTTATGTATTGAATTAGCAAATACTGACTGTAAAAAAGATCGTTTAATTTATTTGTGACTGTTTAAAAACAAAATTGTTGGTGAAAAGTATAATAAAACTTTGTGTTCTTCGCCGGTGTGTTAAAAAAGGTAATGTTATTTTTCTTTTAAGTTACACTAGTTATTTAATATCGCTTTTAAAAAAATATTGGCAATAATATATAAACATTATTTGCATTCTCCTTGTCTATTAATAGAATATCAATGTGGTAAATGTGTCAAAGTACCTAATGCATTTTGTATAGGATTATGTCAGCGTAGACATTTCGTATTCAATACCTGATTACAAATCAATGAAAACATCATAAAATATTTATACCTAATTTTTCTTGACTCATACATAAATATTCAATGTTAAGACAGGAAAGTTTGTGAAAGTTACATATGTATATCCGATCACTTATTCATTATATTACGGAGCAAGACAAATATTTACATAATGTAACTTAAAAATGTTTTTTCCGGCCTTTAATGTGATTAATCCACTAAATGACAATTTTAACTTAGTAATTTTACTAAAAGTATTATTGTGAAGACTTCTCATTATGAATTGTGGTTAATGCATGCGAAAGATAAAGTAACAAGGTCATGAAAAAGTTATTGCATTCGTACACAAAAGATTATGTATGATGCTATGTTATGCCTCTCTATTGTAATGCCAGATAATATTCGATTACATCACAATTGATAACGAAACAGAATTTGATCCAATCAAAACAATTTGGACAGACAATGCCAAAAGCTAAAGACGATTTCAAATTCGAATATTGAATGCGTTAACAATCATGGCGGATACGCAAGCGAGCATGAAATAATTGCATTCACAACCGCGCCTTGTGAACGGCCTCACTGCTTACTAGATATAGGCACCTATGTTTAACGAGAGTTACTGCCTATAGCTGTTACCCGAACGTGTCAAATTGTGCCGACGCCGCCTGCCCCTTGGCATCTTTCTGCGATCTCTCCGACTTTGTCGCGTTGCCGCGGACGAGTCGGGTTCATCATTTTTTTATACACCAGATTACTTTCTGACAACGGTCGAGATGCTCCGACCGCATTTATCTGACTATTCTGGCATGTCGGTCGTCATATACATGGGACACGATTTCATTTATAAACTGTGATGGTTTAAAATTATGATTCATAGGTCATTGGAGGTGATTATTATCGTTTTGAAGGCATTTTTTCTTATGCTTCGTTTGTTTAATGATGAAAAAGAGTTCTAATGTGTTGTTAATATGGTTAGCGCTTGGCCGCTGGCTTATTCATTGCGCCATTTGATAGGAACGTTTGAATGTCACTATTAATAACAGGTTCTTTGAATAACACTCAAGTAGAGTTTAATTGCTGGCTCATTAAATTATCTATAATTTTATATCATAGATATAGAAACATCTAACAAATGCATGTTACATGTTAGATAGAAGGCACAAACTAGTGTTTTTCACAATGATAAACTAAAAAAAAAACAGTAATTTTTTTTTCAGGCTATATTCTAATTCTTTGATAATTGTCTTGATTCATTCAGCTTAACTAACTTTAAGAGTATATATAGACCATGGTTAGCGAATATTTTAATAGTAAATATAAGACAAAATTGTGTTACGTACACAGCTAAACATATGCCTTAAATCGATCCAAAAACCCTCGAGTTTTTTTTTATTTTTCATTTTACATTGTCGATTCTACTTTAAAAAAAGTTAATTTCGTATATAGATACATATATAGATAGTACAGAGGTCAGATTCGTATAGCCTTATTTGAAAGAAAATCGAAAGCTATAAACATAAAACAACGCTTGCTTCAATAGCTTTCGAGTCCGCCTACGTAATCACTTATTGGCGTTTCTTCTTTCTTGCTTCAGTGCCTATCTTATAAAGGTCCATGAGGTTGGTTGTTAACCTGTTTCTTTTCTAATAAGTGTTTGTGCGACGACGCGGTGAACACAATTTTATATGTTAATAAGTAAAAGCTTATTAAAAAGAAGTCTTGCTGATGGCGAAATAATTGTAGAAATCGGTTCAGTAGTTTACTAATAAATAAATCTTCCTTTGGTAATGCTAGTCAAATTAGTGGCTTTTCATAATCTGACTGCTAGAGTAAAGGTAAAATGAGAAACAGTCCCGTTCGCGTCTAAAATAATGACAAGGAAAACGTTAAAACTTAAAAAAAACATGATCTATAAATCTATAATAACTTGTTAAATCATCTGTTAATATGAAATTAAAGGATCTAGTACAGGGATGGCAAACCAATAGCACGTGATACGAATGTTGCTTACGGTACGATATGCACAATAATCACACACGTCTATAACCCCATTAAAACTATTTTTAGTAAAATGGTACAACACATAAAGGTTCACCACCCCTGACCTAGAGGAAGACACGTCAGAACCGTAAATCGTAGAATAATCTGAACATTTACCTAATACATATTTAGATTGCATTAGTTTTAGTAAGAAGTAAATATTCGTTCATCATCATCAGCTCACTATACGTTTCCACCGAGGGGCTCGAAGCCTACCCTGAGTTAAGGGTGATTAGGCTATAGTCAACCACCCTGGCCTAGTGCGGATTGGTTGACTTCACACA